CTAATATTATTATTTTTATATTAGATGGCAAAAACTTTCAAATCTTTAACATCAAAATTCAAGGAAAAATTTAAAATATAATTTACTGACTTCAAATTTCTCGGTTCCTATTCTTAAACTACGTTCGATGTTTCTAAAGTTTTAGAAATTTTGGTATAATTTTTTCTGATTTTCAACATAATCTCCACTTAATTGAATACACTCATGCTAACGAAAAGCAAACCATCCTCAAAGATCTTGTATACCTCTTTCTAAGTAAAAACAGAGCGACAGTAAGTACCTGTCGCTCTCGTTATGGCATGAATAAATCTCAAATAGAAAACCCTGAAAAGGTGTTTTTTTAAATATGGGAACAGAATATTCCTCGCCCACTTGAACAGATTCTAAAGATTTTACATCTTCTTTTTACACAAAGAAAAGGATTGCCCCTCTCATCCTCCGTAGATGCAAAAAAAGTGCTACAAAAGTACGAATGTGTCAGTCAAACAACTGAATCCGACTAAACAATATTACACGGAATAGTTGCATCAACATGTCAAGACGTGTCTCTGGCCGGTAACGTTGCCTACAATTTCTAGGAATTAAACTAGAGCTCAGTTTCTAGAACGTTCGAAACATCCTATGTACTTTGTCCAGAATTTTCATCATAATTGAGAAGAAGTTACAGATTTGTTAGTCCTACTAGTTCGATCTAGGGCAAAACAGCATTTGGTATTAGCTTTATAACTGCTTAACGAGATTATAATTTATAGCCATTTCGCAAACGTAACGCGTAAAAATATATGGAAAGTGTTAGATTAAATTATAAAAGCACAAAAAATGTTTTGCTTGAAATATAACCTTTTTTAAAACAAGTACTTTTCTGTTGTGTTATTAATTTAATCATTTATCATTTCTATAAACTTAAATTGAAATTCTTAGCAATTCTTTTTGTAATACAAGAAAAACTGCTAAATTTTTGGAAGATAGCATATTACATAAACGACATAACATAGAGGTAAACAAAAAATTGGGTTTTATCTACAGGTACTACGTATGCGCATAACGAAAACTTTAATTAATTACTTCATTAAGCTCATTTTATACAGTTTCATTATATAAAGTTACAGAAATTACAGATTATACCAATATATGCTATAAATTTTTAAATTTACAATAGCCAATTATTTATATGTTTATTTATATAATTATCTAAATATCCTATTCACATTGCCAACATTATTGACAATATTCTTGATAGCGCTGCAATTTTACGTATTAAAGTCCTTCAAAGGAGTTAAATTTTGAGAAACCAAGGGAAGACACAACTAAGAAGAAACAACCAAGGATAATTGTTTTTCATCTTGCATTGAGTAAACTTGCGTATAAATAGGATGAATTTAATTACGTTTAATTATATTCAATGTACTAACTAATATCTTATTACTTTTAATATGCTTTTCTATCTTAATCTGTACTCCCACATCATAAATTCTTAATTTTCCGGACCTTAGCATTGTTCTACTATAATAGCCTGTAAATATATAAATATTCAATAGGATATATAGATGCTTTCAATTCTTTTCCTATCTCATATCTGTTTTAATGCTATAGTTTTATAATAAAGATATAAAATACAGTAAAGCTTCAGCAATCTCGACTGCTATTTTGTTTAAGTAAAACTGCACTTATAGTTAATTTATTTGCATATTTTTATTACGAGTCTTACTATCATTTAATTTAATCATTAAAAACATAAATTTATTATACAATGTAAGATAAAAAATTTAATAACATACATTATTTTATTAATTTTACTGCTTTATATTAATGAAAAATAACATCTTATTTTCTTCTTTTGAATAAAAACCAATTATACATTTTGTTTTATGAAAATGGAAACTGATTTTTTCCGATTTTTTGTAGAATAAAAAGAAATTAAGATTATGATTATAGTTAGAAAACGTAGGCAAATAAAACTGATTTCTGTTCCATTTGATTTGAAATGAGATTGTGTTGGATATAGTATGTTTAAACCAGAAATCGGATATTCAAATCCTCGAATGCCATGAATCTTAAGAAATAGGATTCGAGATTCGAAAATTGAATCTTCATGCTTTCTTCATCATTCGAATCGTTGAAATCCTAACTTAAAAACGCCTTAAATAATTTAATTCAAAATTTTTGAAATATTAGTTATATTGACACATTCATAAAAAAGATATTCATAAAAAAAAAAGAAGAAAAAGAAAACGATTGTTACAACTGCAGTTCACCAAGATCAACTATATCACCTCCTAGCGGTCCTAAGTGCTACACTCAACTTCTAGACAATTATGTCTAATTATAATAGCACTAATTATAATTAGTATTTACCTTATTTCACCCCCTTTGTATTTGCTTCGATTTAAAAGGATTAAAGAAAAGTATAAAAAATTTAAACGATTGCTTTAATTAAAAACTTCTAATATTAAACAAATGTCCTCTTCCCCATTAAATTGTTATTCTTAGGCGAAGGATTCCAGTGATTCAAGATTCAAAAGATTCGAGACATAGAAAATGTAGGATTCGTTTTATCTCTAATTTAAGAAAGTATAAAATAATTTCGTTATTTAATTTTGTCCGGAAAATGTGATTTGTATTTTGTTTTAGAGGAATAAAAATACCGTAACTGAATAATTTTTTTTGAAATAAATTACGTTATATGAGTTAAATTCCTTTAAATATGTATCTTTAGCCTACAAAAGAGAAAAAAATTAATCAGATCTTTTTCGAATATCCAGAAATTTTATATTTTAATAATAAACAATTAGATCAAATTTATAGGCTTTAAAAACTGCCTTCGACAATTTCTACGCTGTCTTTTTATCATTATACTATGACACAGGACTTCTGATATATTCCAAGAAGTAAATATAACATCATGAAGAAAAGGGCCAAATGCAGCACTGCCCCCTCTAGAATCTAGTAAAAAGCATATGTTTAAATTGATCATGTTATAGTACATGTATTTTTCTATTGATATAATGCTGCTTTTTATAATCTATACTTTAGCCATCGCCCACAAGCGAACGAGCGATAAAGCCGCTGAACGCTGGTAGGTCGGTCTGCGAACGGTCTTGCTGGCATATGGGTGTTTTTGTGGTTTTCCCCATGTGTAATATGTATTCGAGCCAGTTTCCCTTCGAAAGCCTTCCATGAAGGCATCCCTACCCTTAGGCAGATAGCCCTCGAGTGCTTTGCCATAAACAAGTAAACCAAAGCATTTTAATGATCCAAATTAAATGCTTAAATAAAAAATTTATATAATTATTTGTCATCAATCTTTGTCACCTCCCTCCCGGAAAATTTTCTGCAGATTCCTATGGATGTATAACAGTATGTGTGAGTGATTATGTAGTGGACATAAACAGCATGTTTTTTTTACTCTTATACTTGTATATAGTTACAAAGAAATTGAAGGAAATTAAAATAACACGACTCTAGTGTTCCGAATTATATGTCGCAGTCTTAAGAAATACAAGTTAGCGCATGTTTTAATATTTGTTTTCACATACGAAATACGAAATTGATTTTTCTTATAAATAAAATCTGGTGCATTAATAGATATAAATAGTAAACTAAAAATACAAGCAAACAATACAAGCATTCATTGATAAAACAGACACATATCCAGACAAACTTACAATCGGAACCATTTATTATAAAATAATTACTTCATTTTTCCTTAAATTTGGACTTTAATTTTGATGGGAAAGGTGAAACTTAAAAACATTCAGAAATATTTTTATAGTACTGCTCAAAGGGAAGCAAAAACTATATATTTAATGATTTTTAAGCCTGATTTACACTTGAAATTGTTACGCTGCAGGAAAATTTACAATCAGAAATATAAAATCACCATTCAATATATGGATATAAATTAATCATCTATTCATTTGCAGCATTACCATCTAATTATACAGAAAATACAGTTTTTGCTAGCAAAAATATAAACTGCGTTTTCTCAGTTTGCAGTTTTTCAATAAATCCTTTTACTTAAAGTTCTAAAACTTATGGAGATATGAACTAACTTATTTAATATTTTTGCTCTTTGTTGAAATTTATATCCTTAATAGGAACGAGGTTGGGTTTGCAAAATAGTAAAAAGAAAAATTATTGGAAGTGAAGAAGTGATTAATGTGATATTTTTTCCAAAGTTTTTACATAAAAATGTGCTTTTTATTTTTTCTCAAAAACTAATTCATTAATTGCAAAATCGACCCATAAAGTTATTCAGAACACTCTTATAAATACAATAAAAAATTGGGGCAAAAATATTGAAAATTGTAGGAGAAGAAAGGCATTCTGATTGTTTAATATTTCTTCAAAAAAATTTAATTTAAAAAAAAATATTACTGGAAAAATAATTTTTTTAGCTTAAAATCAGTTTCTGTATAAACACCACTTAATAATATTCATTAAAAGTAGATGAAAATTCTTAAATAAAAAAATCATATAAAAGTTATCGAGTTTATATATTAGTCAATAATAATTAGGAATATGTGACTTTCTCATAGAAACACATTTTTTTTTTTTACTTTAAAATAAATGAGTTATTATGAAAACTAAAAAAAATTACATTTTTCAATAAATAAACTAATTTTTTACAGAAATAATACCGTATTATTCTTAAACTTCACTATCAGGCATTTCACACTGTCTTGCAACATGCCGCATGAATGGCTTTAGCTAAATTTCATTAAAATTAATTTATTATAAAAAATTGCAGACTTCATTTCTTTGAAATTAGAGAAATGAACTATTTTAAAATGATGATAAAATGTAAATGGAAAATAAATACACTCTCTACCCATTCTAGCAAATTACTGAAATTGTATGGATCTAAAAATTACCAAGCTAATTCAGACAGTCAGGGGCAGCAAACCCCCGTGCCTCTCTTCTGCGTAGGGGAAGAGGAGGGAACATTCCTTTCCAGATCATATCCGAAAGGGAAAACTAAAAAAAAGTAGTCCACTCACCAGGATAGCTGCAGGACGGGCATCCTTCTTCGCCACTCAGGACGTGCCATCCCGCTGCTTATTACCACATAGAAGATCTTGAACTATTGCTGAGATTTACCTTGCCATAGTTCATGCACTCTATTCTCACACAATATGCAAAATCTCGCGCTAACTCGCGGGAGTACTTCAGCTTTACCCGGAAATGGAATGGAAGGACCGCGCACGGCACGTCTGTGAGACCGCGTTACTCACTTGTATCCTTGGGCGGAACTTCACTTCTCCCAGCCATGGGGAGGGATTGAGTTTCGCTCTCTGCGATGAATGGGCGATTTTTGGCGACGTTTTTCGTTTTTTTTATCTTCCTCTTTTTTTCGTCTTTCGGGGGGTTCATTATCAATTTTTTATGCTGTTGTTGTTATTGCGACCAGATTGTTTCGAGGAATATCGTTCATGTGTAAGTCTACCAGCGAAAGTTTTTTTTTTTTTTTTTTTTTTTTCGCAAATGATAAAAATACTGTGTTACCTCGGTATACGCCCGCCTTAAAATACGTCCAACTTGGTATACGTCCTGTTCGGACGCGAAATTTGTTTGACGTACAACATTTGTCCAGAATATGGTTCGAGTTCGATGAGTCAGAACTACATGGCAAAGCTCTTTTTTTACCTTTGACACATAATGCTACAAATGTCCATGAAGCCGAATATCCATGAGCGTTAGTACGCTTGTTGCTATTATTCAGTATTCAATTCTGAATTTTCAAATAATTTTGTGTCTTTCAAGTAAATGTTTTGTAAATTCATTAACAATGAGTTTTAGGAAAGTTAATGGGTAGAGTCATGCAGCGAAGAAAATTGTTAGGATCACCATGGAGGGAGAAAAAGAGATAGTTGAAAAAATTTAAGATGGTATGGTAGCTATTATAAACTGCATGTCAAACAGGATGGCGTCTACGACTGTGAAAAACAAAGACTCTATTAAATCGACTGTTGAGAAGATGGTGAAATCGATTGCCAAACAAAGAACAGAGACTCGGCAGATATTATAATTAACGAAAGTTAAATTATTGGTGTACTCCAACTGCGCTAATGAAAATCGCTCCCGGGCCGTGCTATAGTCCAACTGCGCCAATCAGAATTTCTTCCCCCTGCTGCCTACAAGGTTACAATTTAACTTTTCGAAGCCAATTGTTGCCAAGAGGAAACAGCAGACTAATTACTTGAATAACAGTAATAAATGCGAGAGCTAACAAAGAAAATAAAAGGTATTGGTAAACATACATATTAGCATTACAAACATCTTTTATTTATTATAATAATATCATAAATGAAATAATTATAAAGCATACCACCCTAAAGCATACCATTTTCAATAAATTACATCAATAATAGTCAAGATGTCTGAACTAGACTGGAAAATTTAATAGGGTTCACTAGCGTGCAAAAAATTATTCCATATCAAAGTGTGTTAAAGTGTGCTAAAATATTTTTTGTTAATTAAAGTAATCATGTAAATGTTTGCAGAAATTAAATTTAGTTAAATTAAAAAAAAGCTTAGCATGAAATCTATTATAACAACATTATTATGCATTTGGAACACTGACGTATAAATTGTAAATAAATTTAAATTATTATGCTAAGAAGTTTTTTCTAAAATTTATCTAGAAGAAAGGAATTATATAAACAATACTGCAAATTAATATAATCAATCAGGCCTCTCAATAAATAAAAGTTTATTTTTTAACCAAAAATTAAAAATTGGGATGCAAAAGTTTGAGTAGTATACTTAGAAATATCTGAACATATAATTAATTAGAAATGTATAATTAAATTAATAACAAACTAATTAACAGTAACATTAAGCTTAATTTCATTCAATCTAAAACAAGCAATCGATCAGGAGCTCCGCATAACTGAAGTTTTATTGCTATTTTACGTAGATTTGCGTATAAAATAAATATTTGCACTTATGAAACAAGTGAATAATGTACTGATAGTCAACAGGAATTAAAATACATTGCTTAAAAATATAACTATTTAATTATATGTTTAGAAGAAGGTATGCAAAGTTGCCATGGCTAGAGAAATTGAATGATTATAGAAAACTTATAAAGTTAAGCGCTACAGTGTGAAAAGAAAATTCTGGAATAAACATGTTAAGAAAATTAGATGGAGAAATAATCCTTAATTTATTGATATCCAAATAAACTCTATGCTTTTGGAAAAAGTTGCATATAATTTGCACCGAGGAATCAATCACCGAAAACGAGTTAATTTCTTGAGACCTTCTGAAATTAGTCTGAACAATATATTAAAGAAAATAGAAGATACAGCACAGATAAGAACAAAAGTGGGCTGAATTAGAGATTTATATATTTGGTAAATCAGTTAAACTTATCTGTATGCCATTATGAAATATTAGGAATGTAGCATAAAAGTATCAGTGAAGAAGGCAATGGCAATCTAAATCATTGTAATCTAAATGCATAACATTATCAGTATCTGCATTAACTTCAATACTGCTGAAAAAATTATAAATGAATTATATTATAAATCACATGAACTCGTTGTATTATAAATTACAACAGTAAGAAATATTATTAGCGTAATTTAGCGACCATCTTTTTTAATAAATAATTTCAAATAATTAATTTTACAAATAATTCAGCCTGAAACTAGGTTGGAAAATGAGCTGCGGGCTGAAGATTAAACTTTACCAAGGTGTTAGAAACATGTTCTGTTAACTAGAGTTAAGATGCAAGAATTTCTAAAAATTATCATTTAAATATAAATTGGCATAAATGCAATACAAAATATATAAATTCTACATACATGAAAACTTGAATACGGCACAATAAGATGTAAAGAATGGATTAAAAGGGAACAGAAAATCCCAAGATATGAATATAAGGAAGTTCGATATTTTTTTGTTAATTATGAAAATTCTGCAGACGCTAATAATTATGAATTTATTAATTAAATGTGCATTAGAAATTAAATGTATGCCATCAGGTAGGGTAACTGGAAAACAGAATAAATATTTAAACGTTTCTAGTATTAAAATATGGAATTTGTAACAAAGTTAAATAACCTTAAGATAATTTCAATGACTAAAAATGGAAAGCTTAATACGGCAATATTTTGCAATAATATTAATGTGAATTTAGAACCACTTAAGAAATACAATTTTTACATTTAATAAAGAGAATTGTTTAAATTAAATTAGAACTGTTTACCTAAGATGGTAAATTTGAAAGTTAAAACCAATCATCTGCTATCTAAGAAGATTTGTTAATACTTATCTAGACAAGAAACTTATTTAAAGTGCGCTACAAATCCAATATTTGATAGGTCCATTATGTATCAGTTTTGTGTATATCATTAATCTATCAATTTTATTATTCAAAATTAATATATATATATATATCAGCGACTAAAATCTACGACTTGGAAAGTTTTTAATTCTTACAGAGAATAAAAAAGATCTGGCTTATTATTTTTTTAAGCATAATAAAAATTTTAAAATGAGTGTAAAGGAAATTAATTTTTACTTTAGCACAAGCTAGACTTTAAATTAATATTTGTTTTGTATGCACAGTTTTTACAATATTGATAAACGAAAATAGAGGCTTGTAGTCTCAATAAAATGTCCCATTAATGGCGATAAATGACTTTTTGTAACACTCAATCTTCTTGGCAAAGAAAGAGGGGACAGGAAACGTCGCGCAGTTCGTGGATTAGATAAAAGGGGGGAAGGGGATCTTCGATCAAATTTTGCGCAATTCGTACCCTACCTAAATTATATATGATAATTATTTGTGGTCTTTATTTACTACTTAAATAACATAATCATAATATACACTTTGATAATTAAAGTCTCTTTTAGTTCAAAGGGGCTTTGTCCTTGAAGGACTATTGTTTTCGTTTTGCGATTTTACGTTGAATCACTATAAATATCCGTTTCACTTTTCAAACTGTTGCCACCAAATGTTAGAGTCCTGCATTATATTTGAAGAAATGAAATAATTCAAAATCTGCATAAATGCATGCCTATTTCTCGCATTGGGATAAAGCAAGGGTACATAGTGCCATCGAATTTTGAATGACGTAATCCTCCTACGAATATGGGCATGTGGAAGACCAAATTTGGAATTTGCTTTATTATCGATTTCATATTTTGTAAAACATTAACGAATTTTTTAGTAACAAACTCACCGATTTAAAAACGAGCGATGGCAACACTCTGCGGAGGGGGGGGGGAAACCTTTTATCTCCAGCGCGCGGAACTGTGTATCGGGAATTCTAAAGATATGCTCATTTTAAAGTTATTTTGCGACATTGTTATTGAACTGAATTTTATGGTTTAAGTGCAAAGAACATGATATTTAATAAGGTAACACATAAAACGTTAAAAAACGCCCCTTTGGACGTCATTTAAAATCTGAAAACTTTCAGATTTGTTCCCCCCCCTCCTTGTGCAATTTCATTTATCAAAATACTCTATTATAAGACCCTAACAAATAAATTGTAAAGCAAAAAAATGTGTTAAATTTTATTTTCTTTTGTTCTTTTGATATCTATAATAGTATTAAAATCTGCGCGAGTCTGTCTCTTTCTTATTTGTTTGTTTGTGGCATCATCTCCTCCGGAACAGCGGGACTTTAGTTAGAGATGTTCCCGCGGATTCTAAAAATTCGTGGAAAGCTATTTCGACCATCATCTTCGCATGACTTTAATCAGCCGAGATATTAATTAAAAACTTTGAAAACACTAATTTTCGCCCTGATTTTTTTGAGTGGCAGCAGTCTCGCTCGCTGGAGTAAAAATCTGCTTTATTTCGAAAATTGTTGCCAAGGCTCGCTTTCAAATCGTAGAGTTTGTTAATAAAGAATTTCTAAGTTTTACAAAATATGAAATTAAAATTGCATTGCCAAACATTAAACTTATTATCATGATACAAAGTCATATTCTGACCTGATGAAACACTTGTGAAATTTACCTAAAATTTATTTAAATTTGTAGTAATTTGATGAAGTATAAAAAATTCACCTAAATATAATTAAAATAATTCAGTGAATTACTTTTTTTTAAACACATAATATGACTAAATGAAAACACTTTCAGAACGTTCTAACTATGGCATAAATTTAGATAATTACTAAGTCAGCACCACAATGGGACTGTTGCGGATACGGAAAAATAGCAGAGGGCTAAACATTTGAATGTTTATTTTATATCGAAAGATCGTCAAAATCTTGGACTTTATATG